CTTCTCTGCAGAGCCTCATCCGCTCTCTGCGCCCATCCACGGATGGGCCCATAGCTTACGCTGACACAGAGGGCACTTGTCGGACAAGATGCGACACTGGCACCAAGCAACCAGGCGTCAGCAACTGTCCTTTCCAGTCATTGTTTTCCCACACTCATTTCAGGGGAAAAAAAATCCAACTCCCAGAACATAATTTTAAATGTGAAAAGATGCAGAGAGCTATGCTTGCAGAGGATTTCAGCTGCGCTACCACTCACTCCTGAGAAAAGGGTCACCTTTAAAAATGGAAGCTTAATTAAAGGCCATAAATAAAATCCGATTGGCCATGCCGTTAACTCTGGAACAGTTGGTGCCATTTGGCCCAGCACAGATTAAGACTGAAAACTGCACGTTACATCCAATAGCCATAGACACCGCACTGATTTTCTGAACTCCCACAACTCCCTGGGCTCTTCAGTCAGGAGGATTAATCACGTTCAATAAGCACAGTAATTAGGCCTGCTCTCATGCTATATTGCACATGGCTATCTCGGATGGCTGCAAAAACACAGCATCTGGTTAACATATCCTAAATATCATACCTCAGAGCAACATTGGGTGAACTCTTCAAACTCTTAATGACTTCTAAGCAGAAGGACTCCAAAAAAGAGCATGGTCTCATGAACCGGTAAAACAATCTCCTATGAAAATAGTGACTCATCTTATTCTGGAAAAAGGCATAATATACTATGTTAACATGCATTCCACTTATTATGGCCACATTTTCTGCCAGTGCAACTATTATCCCCCCCAGCATTCTTGGGTCAATCTTGCCCTAAAACCATCACACATATGAAAGAGTCAAGAAACATCTCATTTGATTTTCAGAAACTCCATCCCACTGGCATCTGCCATTTAACACTCAACCTCGTTATTCTCATTTCTTTTGCTGATCAAAATATACATAGAAGAGAGAAAACCCTAATCCTTGTCACCTTGCCAGGACATTCCTCTGCAAGCATTCATGGTACGACTTGTACCAACAGCAGATCCTGAAATATTTCTCCTCACTCCTGCAGTCCAGTTGGCACAGCCAACTGAACAAGCTATGGGGAAGTCTGTGGATCCTTCCAAGAAAAAGACTGCTACCAAAAAAAAAAAAAAAAAAAAAACACCCACACCATCAAAGAAAGCAGCACATCCCTGCAAAGAAACACAGAGCCAACTTTCCCTATAGCAGAGTCCGAGTGGTTCAAGCTTTCCCTCCTCCTTTCAAGCCAGGATCGTTGCACAGCAAAGTCAAGTCTTTCACCCCATTCCCCAAGGGGTGGTGAGAGCTCTCGAGGTTTATTTACTCAGGGAAGGACAGTCCGCAGCTCCCCAAGTGTCGCCCATAGGCCTGGGCCGCCCTGGGTGGGAAGCAGGACAAGCAGGAGGCCTGTCCCCCCGAGGGAGGGGCGCCCATGCTGGAGGCAACACTTCAGGAACCGTTTCTCCCCATTCCGCCTGGCCCACCAGGCACAACTATGGGGAAGTCCAGCCGCCTGAATATGGCGTTCAAAGAGCTTCCTGCTCAGGGAAACCCAAAATTTACAACCATCTCAGAGCCTCGTTCCTTCCAGCAGGATGCTGCTCAAGATGGCAACAGCTTTTTGCCACTGACACCTGTTCCATACTAGAAACACCTACCCCACTGGGAAAGGCTCCACTGCTAATTCCCTTTTCACTGGGCTTTCTCCTAGGGGCCACAACAAAACAGCAGCCAGGAGAGGAGGAGAGACTGCAGAACTAAAGCTGCTACCCCAGGAAGATGGTCAAAGTAAGCCCAAGTGATTTCCATAGGATTTATAGCATCCACAGGCCTCAAACACTTTGTGCAAACACAGCATGCAGAGGCTTTTGAGACTTGCCTGAGGTGAAGGCAAAACCAAACAGGGACACAATCCCCAAGAAACAGCAGAGGGGAAAGTAAACCCCTGCAGTTCCCCGGAGAGGAGCGTGAGCAGCAGGCAAAGCGTCGCTGCAGCCAGACGGACAGACTCGGAGCACCCAAGGCCGAGCGGTTCGAGGGCTGGACTGCGTTCTCCAGCCAGAGCGACTGCTCTGGACGCGCCAGGAGGCACGGCAGGACAGGGCTGTCCATCTGGGCTGGCTCTGCTCAGGGAACGCATGCAGCCCTCGGTCTCTGGAGCTGTCAGTCTGGCACCTTCCACTTGCACTAGACTCACAAATTTATTTCTTTAAGAGGGTAGGAGGGGGGAAACGATTCTGGAAGAGTGTCAGACGCTGCAACCAACACCAGACAGACTGCTTCCTTTCTGAAAACCCGAAGCAAAGGGGAATTGGAAGGGTTCCCCCCCACACCAATACTTGCTTTAAGGGGAGAGGGCGAAGGGAAGGAAAAGCAGCCTAGAAATCCATAAACAACTGCCTCACATCCACTGCTGCTCTGTGCCAGGCAGAATATTACAAAGTTAAATGCATGATAAGCCTCTTCCTTTCAGACACAGCACACCCCTGTGCTTCCCTCTATTTATTCCCCCCATCCTTGCTTTGCAGACATTATTTGTTTGCCATTGGTTGCTCCCTCCTCCCCTGCCCCTCATGCTGAGAGCCAGCTGCCTCTGCTTGAAAACCATCAATTGGAGCCCAGGAACAAAGCCAAAGTGCTTACAGATGCGCTCGGCGTGAACCTGCCAAAGGGGACTCAGCTGCAGAGATGCCTCCTTTCACCGCCCTCCCTTGTCTGGGCTTTGCTTCTGCACCAGACACAACCCAAACTGTTTGCTGGGGTGGACATCGGCCACCAACCTGACCTGCTCCAGAAGCTCCAGGTGCTTGGCCTTTTAGCGCACAGCAAATTCTGGAGTGAGCAACCAAGTGCCCAAAGGGCTCTATCTGCAGCTGGTTTCATCAGGCACAACTATAGAGCAGATTCTCACACCATGAAAAGGAGAAAGCACAGTCCCCATAGGACAATTTTCAAAATCTAGTACTTACAGCTGCAGGAAAACAGGAGTTGTATATGCAAGAGAGACTAAAACCCTCCCCAACCCCAACTCAACCTAGTTTGAACGACTAACAATTACACTGGGTTGAAAATTTTCTAAAGATATCCCCCATCTTGCATCCCTACATGCCCAACTACTTCTATTTTTTAAAACGCATCTATATCCTAGTATGCTAATTGAGCTAAACTTAAGTGGTATTTTTAGCTTTGCTATTGAGTAACATTTTTACAAAAGTTCATTTCTTCAGATGCTGCAGGGAAAAAAGTGTGAAATGCAAACTTGGGTCTGATTTTAAAAAGTTTCAACGCAGCGTTTAAGTTTAGGCATGCTGTAAAATGAAAGAGCTGAAAGACTCAAGATAACCATTTGGATGTGTATCTAGACCTGGTAACCCCAGCTAGCATCTACCCACATTCAAGCGATTAGCAATACAAAAATAATCAGTGCTTGAAGGGTTTGAAACATGGTAAGCTGAAATGAGATGCTTGGATGACCATGCTAGATTAAGTGTGTGGTATGACATACACCAAGGTTTGTAGCTGGTTTTTAGCTATATGGAGGAACCAAGATAAATTTTAAAATAGCACATTCAGACCGTGAAACCTTAATTTTACTGGAGAGCAGAACTGGCTCTCCATTTTGCAAACCATAATTAGTGTATTTATGGCTCTGAAAAACAAAAGCAGGCACAGGCCAGGTTCGCTTTACCCATCTTCCCAAAATTAAGCTGAATCTTCAAACAAACGGTTCCAGTTTGATTCACTTCCAACTTAGTTTTGTTGCACTGCACTAAGGAGAAGTTGCCACTGAGAAATCAGAGCAATGTATCAGGCAGTGATGGACTATTAGTTGATAGAAATGATACTACCCCTCTGTAAATGTGAGGGTCAGAGGCCTGTGCACAACCCCAAGAGCATATCCAGGAGGGCAGAGGCACAGTTCACTTTGGAGTCTGCGTTCTGCCTCCAAATTCCCACCGTTCTGTTTCTGCGCAGCATCAAGTGGAGTCCATCACGCTAGAAAGAGAGGCTGCTGTCCGTGTCTCCTGCAAAACACCTGGTCTGCAGCTGCCTTATGAATCCAGTGCCCTAAGAGGTCTTTCTCCTCTCCCCTAACAATTATGATTTTGGAGAATCAGCCTCATCTCTCACTAGCCATAAGCAAGAGCTCAGTGGCTCTGCACTGCTTTTATTCTTAGCCTAACTAGGGAGGAGTATCAAAAAATGCTTTGCATAAATCTACTGTTCTAAGGTTCTTATTTCACTTCCAGGCTATTTTTTTCCAAAACCACTAAGCGTCAAATGCAGAAGAGAAACTGTGAAACAGAGAGAGCAGTGTTTTGTGACGAAACAGAGAATGAGAGTAATGGCCTTTTAAACAGATCAGCTCCTGTGGTTAATGCATCTACAGCATTTCTAGCCACATGGCACTTGCCCGAGTCGCACACAAAACACAGTCTCACATGGGAGAGCACAAAAGCAATCAGTGACAGAGGGAGATTTGCAAGACGATCAGACAGGGGGAAAAAAAGCTCAGAGAAAGTTGCAAGAGGAATGCAGAAAGAGAAACAAAAACAATGAAAACGAGGAAGAGAGAAGCAAAAGAGGAAGTGGGGATGAATAATGGAAATGAGCTATTCTCACTCCTCCCTTCAGTCTAGGGAGCTGCAGACCAAAACCAACAATACAGCTTCATTTTCCACACTGCAGAAAGCCAGTGCAAGCAGTTATGGCCATGGGTAGCTTCGGGGAAGCTTGGGGAGGTCAAGATGCCTTTAAAGTGATAGATGATCTAAGGGAAGAGGCCAGATGGCAAAGGTGTTGCTTGCATTAGCACTACCAAGCTAAGACAGGCCTGGAGATGGAGCATAGCCTGTAACAACAGCATAATATAACATTGCAGAGGTCTCCCAGAGCCCTTCTCAACATCACAGCACTGTGCCAACGCTTGCTAACCCAGCAGGAGGATGCCCAAAGGCACCTGGGGACCTTGGGGACAGGCGTCCTTTACCTCTCATTGCCCGGCTGGAACTCGGACAGCAGGGACGGCCTCCTCCGCTGCGGCTGCATGATGGACCCCGGCGGGAGGTGGGACGCGTAATCCCTGGAATGATGCTGGTACTCTAAGAGCGCGACATCCTGCAGAAAGAGACACAGAAGACCTTGTTATGCTGGTGGCGACTTTCAAGGAAATAGTGAACCCTGACGTCTCGGAAGAAGCTGTATCAATACTCTTCCTTTGAAGCGTGGGGTGCTGGACCATACAGCTCAGCACCTTTCCACCAGAAGGTCCCCAGAAATCAGCAATCCTGCACCATGCTAAGATGGTAGCTCAGCCTCTCTGGTCCTGATGCCTCTAGCCCGTTGCTCAAGTTGCTCACAGGGTTGGCTCCCGGGATGCAACATCAACAAGCTCGATCCTGACACTAAGCACGCACACAGCATTTTTGGCATCTGAGTAGTAACGCCTTAAAACCCAAGAATAAGAACACGCAAGAAGAAAATTAAGTCATAGCATACTTTCAGCTTCAATAATCTACACGGTGGTTTAGAAGAAAAAAGGGAGGGAAGAGAAATCACAATGTTATCTTGACAGTGTCCCTTTAAACACAGCTCTCCTGGGCTGAACTGAAGGGGTTTGAAAGGATAGTTTGCTCCTTATTATGTGTATGTCCCTTTTGTTCCTTGACCCTTGGAGAGTACAGTACAGTATGTTCCTGATTTAATTAAATAAGAAGCCCTCCTGCTCTGTGCCACAGACTGATTCCAGCAGCAGTATTTCAGCAGCTACATTTCAAATGCTATTTTTTATTTGCAGATAGATACTCGACCAGAAAAGACGACTAATCACCTAATTAACTAAGACCTTCAGCAATGGCATAAAAAGCCCTGCCACAGATTATCTCTGGTAACACTGACAGACATTTATATTAGAAAGAACCAGTTCCACCTAGGAGTCTATTTTGAACAGTTCTCACCTGCAACAATAAAGCTCCAACTCCCTCAAAAAATTCAGAGACTAAAATTGGTAAATAAAATAGTAAGTACATGAAGTTGGGGTGGAGGGGATCTTAGCCATAAGAACTGCAACAGAAATTATTTGGTTAGATGTAACGAAGACTGATATGCTCCAATACTACAGAGTAGTTGGAGTACCTAAGCAAGGCGAATTTGGCAGGCAAAGAAAGGATTTGGGAGCTTAAATTGCAACAGCCTTCACCTACAGACCCCCTTCCCGAGCTGTAAAAGAGCAGAACACCCACTCCAGCACTGGGTCCCATGTTCTCCTTCAGCTGTAGCTGCGAATTAGGAGGAAATATCAAAGCTCCACATCTTTGGCTATCACAGCGTCAAATGTGTTTGCATAGTAGCTTTCTGGAAAGCCAGGAAGAAAAACAGAATTTCTAAGTACTCAGTCCAGGGAAGCCAAGAAAAACAGATCCCCTACCCCAAGTTCAGCCTCTCTTGCACAAAAGCTGAAAAGAGCCAAATAGCGAAAGGAAGAAGAAGGGGAATGGTGGTGTCTGCCGGCTGCTATTTCTCATTGTGCCTGGAATAGCACAGGATATTAATTCTTGGAATCAGGTTCATTTCTCCTCAACGTCAAGCAAGAGAGCAGCGCTGTTCTTTTTCTCTTCTAACCGAACTTGGGCAACTGCAGGAATCAAGGGCCTCTGTCAACCCCAAACTCTCCCTCCAGGCCTGCCAGTTCAGACCTTATCCGCTAAAGTGAGCGGCATCTTTGGAAAGGCTGCAGGAACATAAGGAGGGCGTTTGTAGGACACCACCTCTAATCAGCTTCATGGAGATGTTCCACTTCTGCTGTGAACCCCATTACCAAGAGAAAAGGCTCCCCTGTGCTGCAGCTTTTGCTTCATCTCTATAATCCACTCATGCACGAGGCCCTGTGGGGTTGCAAATCAGATTATACACAGTCAGGGCAACTATAGACAGGGACAACCACAGACATCCAAAGTGAAGAAACTTGTTGCCTCTAACAGTCCAGCTTCACCAAAGCAGAATTGCTGCCTACAACAGGCTTTCCAGTGTTCGTGCGTGCCCATCTTGGTTTGAAAAGAACCGAGCAATGCAGCTTCTGATATCTATATACAACACACACATATAATGGCTGGGAAGATGTAACAATAGGCCCACAACTAGGACTGTCACCTTCCGTGGGCGTTTAAACTAGAATTACCCGTCTGGGAGGCTCGAAGGCTGTGCCCTTGAAAAAAGGTTCCTGCGTGTTCTGAGAACCATCTGTTTTTCCTCTTTTTCCCCTGCCCACACTCGGTTGAGTCTTGCCTTTTCCTTTTCTACCTCCTTTCAGAAAACTCTTGCTGCAGCTCAGAGCCTCATCACGCGGCCTGAAGCGACGGGGAAGCTCGCCGTGCAATGCCATCATCCCTGGGTTAAGACCTCCAGCTTTTCCAGCTTCAGCACTGACTGCAAGGTTGACAAGCACCATCTCCTGCTTTTCCAAACATCACCCAATACACTCCCTGACCTGCTCCACTTTGCTCATATTAGCGTTCAGCTTTACCAGAAGGAAATATAACCTGAAAAATTAGTGAAGGAGATTAAAAAAAAAACAAAATTAAAAACAACAACAACAAATCTCTGTGCCCTGTGATGAACTGTCAAAGGAACTGCGGGAGACCAGGCAGAACGTAGGTGGATTAATTGCTCAGAAAGTTACTACAGTAAATTGCACTGCGAGCTATGGCTATGTTTTTTAAACGCATCTGCTGGGAAGGTTTACGAGCAACCGTCTGAAGAGGCCTTATTTCTGTTCAGCAGCATTTTAAAGCCTCGTGCTGGGAGGCAGCCTGCTGCGAGCGAAGCTGCACCTTCCTCGCACGGATGGAAGCGAGGGACTGGCATCCGGCGGCTGACACACAAATCACCCCGACACCAATGCACGCAGCAGAAGTGTGATCCAGTCCACAGCCTTGACCTAAAATTTCTAGTGCAGTCTTGACACCTGCTGAAGGGCAGCTATAAGACATTGAAAATACAGCAACTATAAACTGCAGCCCCAAGCTACACACTGCTCCTTTTTCTTTCCATTGCTTTCCTGGTTTTTTGCCCAGTTCTACTTTTTGCTCATCCTTTCCCTCTTCTCCTCTTTACGTCTCTTCCTGTCCTTTGTAAACCGCCCCCTCTCCTACCTGTGGATGTGTCAGAGCACCGTCTCCAGGGCTCTCAATTCCCTTTCTCCCATTGCCTCCTAGTGGGACTTCATTCCTTTTCAGCCAAGTTTTCCTATGCTCCTTATGGTTCAGCTGCTCCTACGCAGAAGTACCATGACTTCTGGAAATCCTACAGAACTTCATAAATTCAGTAAATGTGGTGAAATTAAAAACTAAAGAAAGAAGAACACAGAATGAAATTAATATCTTTTTCATTTTTTGCTGACAGAAATTAGCCTTCTTTACTCAACTGAAGGCAGGGGAGTATTTCCAAAACTAAACCAAAGCAAAACAACAAAAAATATCACTTTGGAAGTCTCAATTCCAAGACCTTATCATCCTCATGATAAAACAGCAGCTTCCCAAAAAATAACCCTGGGTGAAAGGAACTGTGTCAGCTCTAACAGGGTAGGCAGAGTATAAACAGGCAACAGGCCAGAGTTTCCTTTCTGCGAGGACTAGCCCGTTTAGAGCCTTAGAAAGCTCGAGAACATGCAAGGTGATGCCAAGGGTTAGCTTCCAAGCTCAGGGGTTACATTCTTCTGCCCTGCACCGCTGCAGCTCCATGGCAGATCTTAGGCAACGACTCTCTGCTGGCCACGAGAACAAAGCTTCATTCAGGCCAGTCCCCAGGGCACCCGTCCTGTCCTCTCCGATGGAAACGGAAGCTAATCCACGTGATGCCAAGGGAGCAGTCTCATGAGCGGTCAGAAAGCCTCTTCGTCTGAACTGGCTAGTACAGTCCAAACACAGCCGGCGCAGCGGTCCCCTGAGAACCACACAAACGTCCTTACGGCAGAGCACAGGTGGAGGCCTTCCCCCCCCCGCGCTCCCATCACCGTCTCCGTGCAACAGCCCCGGCACACGCATCCTTGCTCATCTTCCTCTCTGCTTCTACCGCAAACCACTGACTGATGCATAGCCACCCCAGACTTGCCCCAAGGCACCCGCACCATGCCAGCAAGCCCAGGGCAGGAGCAGACTTAGAGAACCTTAGAAGTCACCCAGCCAGGAAAGGGCAGCCAGATCTCTGCGGCCGGGAGCAGCTTGACATCCAAGTGCAGTGGAGAGAGGTCACTCTCCATCTTCCAGGCCCAGAAATGCATCACTCTCTTTGTCCTTCCAAAGCCACCTGGCATTACACCATCCTGGATCACTGCCCTGGCCAAGGGTGCTGAGAAAATAAAGGCCTGCCTTGCATGCAAGGAACAGACACCTCAAGATCAGCAAACCATATCTCTGAAGCTTAGGGTGGAGCCAGCTAAGTAAAATTAGGAAAATGACAAGGAAAGTTTATGTTATTCAGCTTCAGACTATGCACCTGTGCTAGCTCCTGAATAAGGGCTCAGGCAGTTCAGCCTCACGTTGCACTGTCCCAAGCCCAAGTGACTCTACGCTTAAAAGGGGCGGCGTGTCCCTGGAAGGGACACGTACCAGTGACACGGGGCTGTGTGGCAGGGGACTGGGCGCACAGGTGAACGGCTGCTGCTAACATCACACCACCACCAGAACTGCAGCTCCTCGTACGAGAGGATTTCGGGGTGCCCTCAGCACAACACATGCTGCGATCCAGCAGTCCAGCTGGAGCCACAAGGACCTCCGGGCAGACTTCCACGTCCCACACCAGGTCAGAAGAGGCTGCTGCAAACTCCTCTCCTTTCAAGAGGGGTCAGATGCAATACTCTGCTCTCCTGTATATCAAGCCTAGTTCAGTCAAGGCCTTACTTGATATTGAAGACAACAGACCTTACCCATTGCTACCTGCTAGAGCATCCTGGTAGGGAAGGGTCTCGCAGGGAAAGCGAGTCAAGGAGGGCCTTTTTGCCCCTAAGCAAGGCCAGAAACCTGCCCTGAAAGAGCTCACCTCAGTGGGGCCCTGTCGAGCAGCCCCGGCCCCACACCACAAAAAGCGGCTGCTTCAGGGAGAAGCAGCAACAGCAGCAGCAG